AGTGTTAGTGTGTGTCGCGGAGGCGAAGCGCTGTATGTGTAATTTGATTCAAACGCTAAGTCTTTCCTTGTCAACCACACATCTGACAGCGTTTTCCAGCCAGAGAGAGAGAGATTGTCCGCTCAGCAACAGGAGTTATTTCGAGACTGAAGGACGGACAGCCGTGTCATCGAGCAGACAAGCTCACTAATCTATCAGTTTCATTAAAGCCTGGAGGAAATCCAGCACTCAGGAAGAAGGACTGGGGTCAGTGGGGGGAGCAAAGGACACTGGGAGGCATTTACTGGCACAGGTGTTTGATCAGTGAGCGTTCAGATCAGTGACCAGGATCCAGTCTCCATGTCTATTTAACTACTTAATGCCTTCAAGATGTATATTCCACATAGGGTAAACGGCTTATTCACCGGCAGGGCTCACGGTTTCAGTGTTTAAAATGAACATGATGTCATGTCTTCACAGATGTGCGTACGAGGGTTCAGTTAAGGTTTATATATTGGAAACTGTGCAGAAGCGTCAGATAAGCGTTTTCCGATAACTACACACAGTGAAGCTCTGTAATGTCTTTCCTCTCAGGAAGGAAGCTCTTGTGAGATCAAGCCACTGTGCATATTTTCTGGAGCACATCAGAAGTGCTCCTCGTTCACGAAGACTTCCTGAGTTTGAGATCCAAGTGTTTGCAATGGCAAACCTGATGAGTGATTTATAGGAACTTAAAAAGGCTATTTGCTGTTATTAATATGTGTATGTGTGTGTGTGAGAGAGAGAGAGAATCATTAATCAGAGCTATTGCTCTTTGTGAGCACTTTATATCGGGTTCAACCAGTTCAATTTCAGAAGCAGATCTGACTAATCTTTTCCAATGTTATCTCTTTTTATTGAAAAACTGTTACATTATTTTATATTACACCATTTTTCTTGTATGTTTGGTAACGAGGTGCTATCAACGAGCTTATGTAAGCCAGTAAAATTCCTTAGATGGGAATATTAAGCCCTTGCGAGATATTTTCATTCTTGCACGATCAAAAAGAAAATACGGCCAGCTGAGAGTGTCAGTTTCACTTTATACAGTACCTATAAAGTCTGGTCATACAGTAGTGGCCAAAAGTCATGTCTGGCCTAGGAAAATTGACATTTTCACCTCTCATTGAAATATTATTAAAAATGTCTTAAAGATTTTATAAGCATATTGCGTAGCTGTGCTTGGAGTTGATAATAACACATTGAAACATGCCAAATTGTACCGACATAATTTTTGGCCAGGCTGTCAAGAAAGAAACCATGCACACATGCAAAAACAAGAGAGAACCAACGGAACATTAATAACTGATTATGAGTCATGAATCTGCTTTTGTGAGCTTTTTTATGCTTTTTGTCATATTAAAATAAAACCTGTAGCTATAGTTTGCCTTTTTTATTATTGCTTACTCCGCAGCTAGCCATATTTTAACAATGTTCATACTTTTTAGCTGAATAATTGTTTAATAATAGTTAATAATAAACTATGACATGATTTAATTTGTCACATTTACATTGAGTTCATTATTTTTTTTTTTTAAACTGTGTAATGCAATTCAAATGCATAAATCTTACATCGAGGCCTAAGTATTTTTTTTTGAGTGTGTCACATGACCCTTAATTTCAGATGACACGCCCATAGTCTGTTTACTGGCCATCTGGACATAAAACTCAAAGGCACGTTCTCGATCTGGCATACTCTAATCTGATTGGTTGGCTGACTTTTGAGGAAGAACTAATCACTGAATTCTCAAAGCTTTAGGTCAGTAGCATCTAATCATTGAAAGAGTTTGATGTTGGGTGCACTTAGGGAAGATTAAACCACATGTCCACGAGTAGCACTATATGTTCTGCTTTGTTTATGCGCAATGATCGGTACTTATCACTTTTGGATGTCTACGCACATTCTAATATTTTCTGTGTGTTTCACTGTAATTATAATACATTCTCTCTGTGTATGTTAATGTGGGTCTGATGAGTTTGTTCAGACCACAGCGGAACCACATAACTTATCATTTTTATGTCACGACGTTGGTATAAATCAGCGGTTAGTTACAGAGTCTCCGCTACTGAATCTCTGTAAATCAGCGGTTTTCTTCCTGCGTCAGCCCAGATTCCCCAGTGGATTGCAGAGTGACAGGAAGCTTGCGGTGTATAGAGATTAGAAGGATCATTATACGTATGTGCGCTCTCACTGGTGTGTGAACTCAGAAGAGCGTGCGCTGTGGTTTCCAGTGAACCCTGCTCAAAGCGTCCAGTGTAGAACCAGCACAGCAGAGCCTTTCATGGAGTCGAGATGTAAATACTGCGCCTGATGCTGGCTCGAGTGACTTTGTCTGCCGATGGAGTGAGAAAGCTTCAGAGAAGTGCACCAGTCTTGGCCCTTCCGTCCAGCTGGTCAAGAGAAGAGTTGGAGTTGGCTCCTACATACATTTGATCATGCGTATACGGATTTATAGACTTCTGGTGCTTGAGACCTTGAGACGTTTTTGCAATAGGATAAAACGCAGGAACCATCACAACAGGGCTTTCCTTTAAAGCCCTGATTGTTCTTACAGTCACTGCAGCTGCCAAATGTTTCCTTCTGTCCGTCTCATGTGCGTAGGCTTATTAAACAAACCGTTGAGCCTCTGCGATCCCTGGCTTCTGTGCAACGCTCAGGGTCCGTTTAGTGCTCCAGGCCTCATCATACACCGTCTGACAGCGTCACACACATGGTTTCTCTCTGTAGGCATACTAAGCTCATGGTTGCTGTTTTATGTGTGTTGTGGTGGGTCAACCCTCTCGAATCGCATGGGATAAACTGAGTATATCGCTGTGTGTCACATGACATCACGCCGCCGTAATTCATGCGGAGTCACGCCGGCCTGCTGCCGTATCCCTCAGATGTTCGCTTACACAGTTGTGCATGTGGCTTTGGTTGTCTTTGTTAATTTGTTGAGCTACTGTGCCGAGTGTCGCTCTCATCTCGCTGTTGCACACATGGTTCTCGGCACACGCGGTGTGTGTGTGTGTGTGTGTGTACGGAGCCTGTCAAAGCACATGACATTCACACATGGTTTTGAGTACTGCATGAATGTTGGGCTACTGGGTTCACTCGGGAACATATGGAGCGGGTCCGTACCTCAGCTGACCCTCGCGTGACAGCTCGGCCCCAGTGGTGTGTCCCTCCATTGTTTCATCACACTTTGAGTGTACACACTACATCACTGCCCAACATGCACCAGGGCTCGCACGTAACCAGTGACAGCACTGCGCATTGCCTCTACAAGACTCAAAGTTTTAAATAGTTTAAACGCCTTGAGTGCTATGAGCTGTGCAATATGCAGACCCTTGTGAAGAAGAAGTATACTTTTTAGTATTTTTAATGAATATGAACTGAATATGAATACAATGAAATGTATTGTGTTATAGTTAAAAATATGTTAAATGCAATTAGTAGTACTTGAGTGCTTTTTGACCCACTTTAGTTGTTTTATACACGGACAAATAATGGTGTAGGATTTACTTTGAAACGATTTTCACTCAGAAATTGCTTCAAAATGTCAGAAATAATTACATAGAAATGGCAAGTAACATGTTAAATTAAACGAAATTTTGAAGTAGAAAGTGTGAAATAGTATTTTCTTGTAAAGCGTTCTCCAATAATCGTTTACTTTACAACTTTACAAAATCAATACTGTGTAATTACTTCTATTGTCTTTAAAATATGGTTAAAGCTGACAAGTATTTATGGTAAACCCTTAATGTCATTTCTATTGAAACTTGCATGTTATCTATTTAAATATATTTATAATTATACATTCGTAATGATGAAGTTGCAATTTAGTACATTTTAAATATATTAACGGTAACACTTTATTTTGATGGTCCACTTTAGAAATTCTACTGACTATAAGAAACTTTGAATCTACATGTTAACTTGCAGTCATTAGAGTATTAGTAGACTGTCTGCTTAATATCAGCGAACACTTTATTTTGATGCTTCCCAACAGACATTTAAGTAACTTTGCATGTAAATGCCAACTTATTTAACTGTTATGACTCTTGTCTTGTTTCCCCTGTTTTGTGTTTAGGACTCTTATGTTGAAGAGTATATTCCTTGTTCCCATTGTTCCAGTGTTTCACTTCCATGTGTCCCAAATGACACACTTTACACTGCACTTATACTCTATGTACTTATGCACTGTGTACTCAACCATGTAGTGTATGAATTGTATATGGTTATTTTGTCATTCAACATTGGAGTCTGATAGCTCCTCCACGACGTAATTAAAACTGCGACTGTTGAGTGCATGAAGTGTCCATTTTTTCCCTTAATTAAGTGCATCATCCGGGTATTTAAAGTGTGCTTTTTTTTCAGTGTAAACACACTAATTGCAATATTTACACTACAAAATGTCATAGAATAGTTCAAGTGTACGTTCATTTGGACACACCTCATGTGTTTAGTCTCTGTTTGCTTTTGTTTCCATAGTTACCCTCATTACTTCCCATAATATTTAATTGCTCACACCTGTCCCTTGTTAGTCCTTGTAATGCTGTGTATATAAACCCCAGTGTTTCCTGTGTTGATTGTCAGGTCTGTCCTTATATTAGCTGTCATGTTGACATGATCAGTTCTGTTCCTGGAGTTTCCTACTGTCTGTTACCTTGTTTATTTACACCTTTAATAAACCTTATTTGCATCTGAATCAAACCCTTTTTTGTTTCTGAGTTCACTTTACATCTACCAACCCTAGGACTCTACTAACAGTTTACTAATACTTTGAGAGTTAGTTGTCTAAAGTGGACCATATTTGGTGGATTATTTAATTTATAGTATATTATCTTCAAATTTTGTTTGCACAAAAAACATTCAATGCAATTAAGTACATTTCTTTTCACAAGGGGAGGTTCCTGCAACTGCTTCCCTGGCAAGTCAGTTTTGATTTCATGTTGACCAATAGGCTAATACTACTCTATTTATACTAAAGTACTAAACAATGGTGTAAAAGATTTACTGGCAAAGGGACTGGATGTACATACTGTAACTCCACACATGCAGGTACATAAGGAAAGTGTCTTAGCAGGTCAGTAACGGTGCCCATTGTGTTTGTTCCAGATGTCATCTCTCCAACATATTACAACCCGTACTTCAGGAGGCTAAGGTTTGACGTGAGCTCCATGGAGAAAAACGCTTCAAACCTGGTGAAGGCAGAGCTCAGGATCTTCAGGCTGCAGAACCCAAAGGCCCGTGTGTCTGAGCAGCGGATTGAGCTTTACCAGGTAAGGCCTCTCCTGTCCCTCAGCCCTTCATCATTCTTGCGTTTCGTTTGACTTCATGCACTCATTCAACTCCCCAAACAACTGTCATGACAGCAGCAGTACAACAATCCTGTCTGGACAATTACTTGCATGCAAACTTTGGCTTTGGTTTTCACACGTGAGAATTATGATATAAATTAGTCAAATATTTTTCTAAGAAATACTATTTAAAGTTTGTGTCAAACTATTACAATTTCTTCATTTATGTGATCAGATATGATGTATACTTTTTTTTTTACTTTTATGCCCCCAAACATTTTTAATTAATTTTATTTCAGAAAACATGATTAACCTAGAAGAGGTGTATTTAAGTGTAGTGTATGTAAAAATTCCAATTTAATGTATTTTTAAAGTTATACTATGTAACTTTTTTTGTTCATTATCAATCCTTCTGAAAAAAATATTTAGCCTTACCCTGATTCACTATGCTATTGCGTACATGCGTCACTATCTGTGAATATGGTACATTTTAGAGGTTAGTTGTCACACCGAGTGAGAAAGCTTGACATGGAGCCGCTAAATCTCGAGCCTCCAAGGAATCACCCGTTTTAAACAAACGCTAAACAGAGGAGAGTCTGCTGGAGAAAAGAGAACGACAGAGCTCGTAATAAAACAAGAATCAACATTAGCTTGGCTTTTGAGAGATGGCGAGGACTGAGGGATTTAAAATGTTGTAAAAGCGATGCAGAGATGGCTTTTTTATTACTCAACAGGTGTAATAAGGTGTTATTGAACAGATAAATTGCCATATGTAGCTCTCTGACAGAGTTCATTGTAAAGCATTATCTATTGTGAAGGCTCATTTCACTATGGTTGTTTTAGCGCTGTGATGGAGTTTACTTTTAAGGAAGTACCATAACTATTAATGGGTAAAGCTAGAGTAATGTCTTCAGCTAGTCAGCTTGAGATGCTTTTTTCTATCTAAACTGGTTATATGTATTAATAGTGAATGTTTTATGAGCAGTGGGAGAATCTCGCTCTCCCTTTAGTTATGATAAAGAACCATATTCATCCGCACAGTCATGCAGAGCCGAAACACAATAAAAAACAATGTTCTTCCGCAAATGCATGCAGTTTTGTTTTTTAAATGCCAGAAGGCCAAAAGATCCAGGCATTGACCCATTCACTACAATAGGACTCTTGCTGATGTGATATTGCTTAAATATGACATGCAAAGATGCAAATTATATGTCGTCAATAGCAGTTCACCTCTTTAATCTTATTAATATTTGAACTGTTTCTCAAAAACTGCAATTAGATTGAATGGAGAGCAAATGGAGACTTGCGTCCCCGGCTTCTCAAATTTGGACAAAACTTCAAAATTCAGAGATTTCAATAAGAACTCAAAGATTTCTCATCAAATACTCCCGAAACCAAATGATCTGAGCTATGCCATCCAAATTATAGCCTCTTAATGTATTTATATTAAATATGGAAGCTTGTTTCCTCCAAAGAATAAAAAATAAATAAGGAAATTACGAATTTATCTGGCAATTGTGAGTTTATAACTTTATGTTCTGACCTTTTTTTTTTTTTTTGCAATTTCGAATTTATAACTTTCTGACTTTTTTCGCAGAATTGTGATATAAACCTGTGATATAAACTTGTAGTTTTGAATTATAAAGTCAAAATTGTGAGATAAAAACTTGCTATTGCGAGACAAAAGTATTGCAAAAATAGGCTATATTTTATTCCTTGGAAACAATAATCAAACAATAATCAACTCTTGTTTTATATGGTCATTTTTATTTTTACTAAACGAGGTCTAGGAAATACACTGAAAATGCCACTCAGATATTGCTTTTCCTAACTTTTTTGTTTACAGTGTACAGATAAATAAATAATAAAGAAGTCTTCTGAGCCATGAATGAGCCTGTGAATCGTACCAGAGTTAATTGTAACCCGGGCCACTTTTCAGATGGACTCGGATGTGGTTCACTAACACACACTCAAGTTCAGAAAACCGTTTTCACACCAACCAAGTGAACCAAACTCTGACGTCAAACAAGCTTGTGTACGCAGTGTGAAAGCGCCCACACATGCACTTTTTAACCTCTCTTCTCCTCCTCCTCTTTCCTCGTATGTTCGTTTATTTATCTTAAGGGTGCTGTAGAGCTCCGGCCCATCGATCAGCGGGGTTTTATGTGTGTGTGGAGAGAAGTGAGTGTGGAATGCTGTTTGGTGATTTAGAGTTCCGAGGGTCTCGAGGGCCAAATAAAATCCCAGTGCTGTCGAGGTCTGCGCTCCCCACCTCCCACCTGCCTCTCCATTTAACCTCGCTCCCCTCCTCTCTGTTCATGTGTCAGGTCTGTCATGACAGGTGCAGTAAACACTGTCCCACTAACACAGAGATGGTGAATGTGTTAGGGAGGTTTTAAAAGGAGTTTGCAGGGAAGGGAGAGGTTGATCCTGTTCCATTTTGATTACTCATGTTGTAGCTGGTCAGGAAATAATATAGTTCATCTGCATATAAGTTGGACTGTTGTCTGAAGTGAACTGGTGAAACAGCTCTAACTGGATATTTTATGCAATTTCCCTATATTTATATACGTTATTCATGCTGTCAATCCACAATTTTTTCTAATATTATGAATTATTATGAAGACGAAATACTCCAAGGCACTCGCGAGGTGAAGTAAAAAACATTTAATTAACTGGGCTAAATCATTAAAAAAAAAATTGTAGTAGATATGTGTAAAGATAAGTGTAGATATAAGCATTTCGGCTACACCGCCTTCTTCAGGATACTTATCAATTGTCTTCTTAAACTATTAGTAATAAGTGGATCAGCAAAGACAGCTGGTTGAACATCATGAATTATTATTTGATGAATATCAGTGACATTGACTTGACTTGGACAAAACCTTTTCAGATATTTAAAAATATTCGAACAACACTGCTTTCACAGTGTCAGGAAAATGATATCGCACATTTTTGTAAGATCAAAATCTATTTTTAATTTAGGAATGAAACATGTTCATCACAGAAGAGGTGTTTTAAGTAACTGTGGGCATGAATAGCATTTATACAGGTGAAACTTGAAAAATTTGAATATCGTGCAAAAGTTCATGTATTTCAGTAATTCAAATTAAAAGCTGAAACTAATATATTTAGTATATATAACTATATACATATGCATGATTATACTTTTCAGAGGGCCAACATTTCTGCATTTAAAATACTTTTTTTTTATTGATTTCATGTAATATTCAAATTTTCTGAGATTTTGAATTTGGGGTTTTCATAAGCTGTAAGCCATAAGCAAACTTTTGCAGGATATTCTAATTTTCCGAGTTTCACCTGTAATGTTATGGCGTTCAAAAGTTTGGGGCAAAGTTGCCAATGCTGCATTTATTTGATCAAAAATGTAGTAAAAACAGTTATATTGTGTACAATTTAAAAGAAATTTAAAAAAAATGCTGATTTGCTGCTTAAGAAACATTTCTTATTATTATCAGCGTTGAGTTGCTGTTTAAAATTGTGTGGAAAACATGATACTCTTTTCAGGATTCTTTGATCAAAAGAAAGTTCAAAAGAACAGCATTTATTTGATAGAAATCTTTTGTAACATTATAAATGTCTTTACTATAATTTCCGAGCTTTTTAATGCATCCTTGCTGAGTAAAATATGAATTTCTTTAAAAACGAAATCTTACGGTATGCATTTTAGAATAAACGAATAGATCCCTCATAAAGTAATTCAGCTCTCCTGTTAAACCGATCAAGTGTTACTTCAGTTCAGCATGGAGATTTATCTCCATATCAGCAGTTGTGTAACTACAGTAGATTCCAACCCGTCCCAAAAGCCCCTCGACTGCTTTATGGACAGCCGACCCCTGTAGCTCCAGTCTAAAGATCCTACAATTAGCATCTCTATTTTGGCCTCCGTCTGAGCCTCTCCATCCCACGTTCACCTCCACGGCCCGATGGAAGGAAGCGGAGCCGTTGCAGATCTACAGCTGAAGCAGTGTTTTACGCATTAAGAGCTGCTCTGTCCAATGTAAACACGCAGCCACGAAGGACAGAGGAATAACAGTGCACCCTGTCCAGCATCTGTTTCCGCCACCACAGCCTCTCCAAGCATTTCCCAGACCTGGCTAATCAATCAGGGAGCTTCCAATGGGAAGAAGGGAACCGCTGTTGAGGCACTGGAGAAGGGTAGCGTTTCATGCGGGGTGAACGAGGGCTGGCACATCGATGACAGCGTTTGCAGTCTGCTGATGCGTTTCCTGTTTCTTTAGATTCTAGGTCATAAAGAGCTCACATCACCCACACAGCGCTACATCGACAGCAAGGTGGTGCGCACCCGCATGGAGGGCGAGTGGCTGTCGTTCGACGTGACCGAGGCCGTCAGTGAGTGGCTGCTGCACAGAGGTAAAGGAGTGTAAGACAGTGTTTTACTACAAATGTCTTGTGCATATTTATATCTAATTCCTGCTGGAAAATCGAAACACTCAAAATCAACTTAAAACCAAAAATTGAAGATTAAAGGTATATTTTTCTCCAAAACATTGAACAAAAAAAAAATCAATCTTTCTCGGCCAGAAATATTGATGACTCATCTTGTACTCAAGGGTGTGTCCCTTGTGAAAAAGAGGTGTGCTTACTTGTATTGAATGTGCACTTGTAGTGTACTAGAATATAGGTCATATAATATGAATTGAAATAAAAGGCCAGTACTTTTATGACTATGTTTCTCAACGTATGAACACTTTCAATAGGTGCACTGTAATATCAAATTAATGATTTTACTTAAAGTACATTAAGTTTTGCATTTAAGCTACATTAAATAAGTACACTTATTGATGTGCTCACTAACATACACATATAAAGTAGGCTACTTTATTATAATTTTAACCATAGTGTTTTCTTTGATATAATAAATGTACTAAATTGCAACTTCATCATTCCAAATGTGTAATTACAAATATATTAAAATATGTGACATACTAGTTCCGATAGAAATTACATTAAAGTATATTTTAGTTTACCATAGATGCTTGTCAGTACATTTAGTAGTACACTTTAACCATATTTCAATTATGAAATCACATAAAAATATGTACTGCTTAAGTGGGTCAAAAAGCACTCTAAAGTTCAGCTAATTGCATTTGATTTAAATTTAAACTACAATACATTTTCATTTAACTGTGAATAACATGCAATTCAGTGTCAAAAAAAAAAAGTAGCTACCATTTTCCGTTTCAGTGATCTAGCTTGACCACCGCTGGTTTTCTAGCAGGAAGAAAATAAGAATTAGTCAAAATTTCTATTTGAGTTAAACATGACATTATGAAGTAGAAAGTGTGAAATAGTATTTCCTTGTAAAAAAATCAAATCCTTCATGCATGCAAAGTTTAGTGAGTTTTCACCATAGCTTATCAAAGTGCACGAGAATAGCAGTAATAACAGGCCAGAGCATGAAGGTGTAGGATCGTCGTCAGCATACATGAGCTCATAACAGTTGGAGCCCAGCGGTTCTCCATCACATTACGCAAGAGAGCGATAGACATCCGCGCGGCAGAGAGATTCAGCATTACTAGCGGCTGTGATGAATGCTGGAGCTGAGAGACAGCAGTGACGGTGTGTGACTCCTGAGGGATCATGGGAGTGGGCTCACTCACATCAGATGAGCTCATTTATCTGCTGTAGATTATCTGACCTTGCTGTGCAAGTGTTTTATTTTTCTCTGTTTTTCTCTCCCACCAGACAGAAACAATGGATTCAAGATCAGCCTGCACTGTCCCTGCTGCACATTTGTGCCGTCAAATAATTACATCATCCCCAACAAGAGCGAGGAGCTGGAGACACGCTTTGCAGGTGGCTTTGGGTGGGGGTGCGTGTGTGTGTGTGTGTGTGTGTGTGTGTGTGGGCCGGGGGGGAAGAAAAATGGAAATAAATGTTTGTCAGACAGAAGTAGGTCTGATTGAGGCCCGAATCCCCCTGAATAAATTTAGAGGCAAAAGGTTGCTTAAAAAGTCCACTACCAGTCCAAAGTCTGGACACACCTACTCATTCTAGATTATGCCCATTTGTCACATTTTAGTAATAATCATAGTCATCAAAACTTTTAAACAACACAACTGAAAACATGGGAATTATGTAGTGACCAAAACAATGTGACACGAAAGGGAACTAGAACATTTGAAAGTTTCCACCCTTTGTCTAGATTCCAGATTCTAGTCAGATAATGCTTTTTTAAACTGTATTGAACCGTGACTATCTGGTCCTATTAAAAAGTGTATGTTTTGACAGTGCTTTCAAGCAATATCAAAAAGTTACATTACAAATTAGTCAGATCACAGTTTAAGGGGTATTAATGCACCTGTTAATGATTATTAATATCATCTAATGTTCCTGCAATACTCGATTTGTTGTGCGCATTGTAGCATACTGAAACATGTATGATTAAAAATTACACTCACAGCAGTTTTATGTTTTTCTATGAATTTGATTGTGTTTTAATTATGCGACTCCTAGTAAAATCACTGTCGCCTCTCATGGTCAATTGTTTTGGTAATGATTTATGCATTTGGCAAATCTGATTTGGCATATTTTATCCAAAGCGACTTGCATTGTTTTCAAGGTACACTGAAACAATAATTACACTTTTATTTAAAAATAAATATATATATATATATATACACTACCGTTCAAAGGTTTGGGGTCGGTACGATTTTAAATACTTTTAAAAGAATTCTCTTCTGCTAACCATGGCTGCGCTTATTTGATTAAAAATACAACAAAAATCAGTTATAGTATTAAATATTATTCCAGTGTAAATCAGCTGTTTTCTGTGTGAACGAAAATGTTTTTTTTTGATTCTTTGATGAATAGGAAGTTCAAAAGACTTTTGTAACATTATAAATGTCTTTACTGTCACTTTCGATCAAATTAATTATTCCTTGATAAATAAAAGTATTGATTTCTTTCCTCCAAAAAATAAAAATAAAATTCTCACTGACCCCAAACTTTTGAACGGTAGTGTATATACTCTTAATTTGTTAAAAATATATATATATATTATATGTATATATTCAATATATTATGGTTTGTTAAAATCTTAAATTTTATTTTGTAAGTTCACATATTTATTTCCGCAAAGACACAAGCCAAAAACGCACTTAATATAGATGAATATAATATTTTTGGGGCTTTTTACCACTTAATTTGACCCTAAACAAAACCTAAATTAGCTATATCATGAAAGTAGAATTTTCACTACACATTTTATTAGTCAATGATTCATTTAGTTTACTATAGTATAAATAAAGACAACTTCAAAAGACCTTAATGGCGATGTCTTTTTGAAGAATGCATCATACTGACAAATAAAATACAACTGAAAAATGTATAAAATGCACAATAATTCGTTATGGAGTGCAATAACAAAACAGGTTTAAACCGGAAACCATGACTTTTAATTAGACCAGTATACAAATACACTTCTTTTTTTTTTTTTTTATCATGCTCAACAGGAATGCCCTGTATAATTTGTTACATTTCTGTCTGATTTCTGGTTCACAGGTATAGATGACAGCTTTGTGCACGGAGGGGATCTGAAGATGTTTAAAAAGCGCCGTCACAGTGGCCAGTCTCCACACCTGCTGCTGATGCTGCTTCCATCGTACCGTCTGGAGTCCCAACACAAGAGCCACCGACAGAAGCGAGCTCTGGACGCAGCCTTCTGCTCCAGGTAGGACCTTTTCCCACAGTCTGTATCTGAACCACAACAGCACTTCTGGTGTCTGTATAGATACTCATCTGTCATTGGTTAAAAACAGCCAGATGTCAGTCCAGGATTATGCAATCGCTGAGCCATATACGGTATCAAAGCAGACTGGACCACCTATCAATGCTGACTGAACTTAATCAATGAACTGGAAAACTTTTCACTGTTAGATTAAAGCTAATGTGGCTCGATTGTCTTTTAATAAAAATCATCTGTATTCTCTCTCGTCCAACCCATTGCTGACACGATCATATAACAATGTGCTGTTAATTTTATACTTCCTGACAGATAACATCCAGTATTAACAAGCTGAGAAAATATCAGACATTTCTGTCCAAATCCTAAAGAGAAAAATCGACATTAAAATGAAAGAGTGGACTGATCTGATTATCAGTGTTGGCCAGAATTCATAATTTTAAGAAATCACATGAAAGAACCATGTTTTTATCTCCTGTGCTGACAAATTTCCTATCGGAATAGAGGGTTTGGGTGGGACGTCTCCAAGGACTCATCCTTTTCCTTTTTTCCCCACTTTTTTTATAGCCAGTAGACATTGAACACATCACAGCTGTGAAGCATTATTTGCTTATTTCTAGTCAGTTGTGGGTTATATTAGAGGGAGGAACATTCTCAATCTAGAAAGCATTTGATTGGTCAGAAAACTGTATAGTGCAGGATGAGTCATCAATATTTTAAATGTGTACAAATGAATTAGAATTGAATTAGCCACAGTGATATTACGTTAATCCAATACTCGTTTTGCAATATGTTTGAAATATTTTAAATATGAGGGAAGAACCAAATATTAAACTTGGTTAAGGTATTTATCTGACAAAATTATTTGGATGCAAAAAAATGCATAGAAAAACAAAAAGCTTACAGGAAAAAAGCACACATTGACTACAACATAATCAGTTATTAATGTTTGGTTGGTTCTCTCTTGTTTTTGTATGTGTTCATAATTTCTTTGTATGACAGCATGAACAAAAATGACGTCAGCACAATTTGTCATGTTTCATCGCGTTATCACAAATAAAACAATCGACTCCAAGCACAACTACGCAATTTGCTCACAAAATCTTTAACACATTTTTAAGAATATTTGAATGAAGGGTGATGTCGTCAATTTTCCTGGCCACTACTATACTGTACGTTGTGCGTATGAAAATGTTTATGAGTAAAAATATAAAATGTATTATTAAAAACTATATTTAGAGCAGTTATATGATTTTCTTTCAATCTAATTCCATGCTAAATTTAGGTTCAAGAACTGAAATGAAATTTAAAGGCTTCATTAGCCTCGTTTTATTCTCAATGCTGAACATTTAGCATACCACTATTGTACATGTGCTACAATTGCATTTGTAGAACAGAAAAGCTAAATTTGCTGTGGGATTCAATGGTAGAAAATCTGTTGATGTAAAACTAGTCATGTCAACATATGCTATACTGCCATTATTTCTGTCAAAAATAGTTTTTTCTATTCTCATTTTAAGCTTATAGTTGATTATTTCAATTTAAAAAAAATATGGAGCTTTATGTGCATGTAATATCAAAGTGCAGCAAATCATTTTTTGCATTTTCATTTTCTCTGGCCCTCAAACCATTGGGTTAAACATCAATTCTGTTTATCATACCACAGAAATGTGCAGGACAACTGCTGTTTACGCTCTCTCTACATCGACTTCAAGAAGGATCTGGGCTGGAGGTGGATCCACGAACCGAAAGGTTATAACGCCAACTTCTGTGCAGGAGCCTGTCCGTATCTGTGGAGCGCGGACACTCAACACAGCAATGTAAGACCGATTTCAGCGACTGGTTAGGACGAAAACTTGTACAAGTTATTACCTGTGTCTGGTTGGGATGAGCTGGTATGATAGATGTAAAGCTACTAGGTGCTGAAGACAACAGATGAATTATAAATAGTCTGAATAACGGCATTTTATGTCCTGTTTCAGATCCTTGGCCTCTATAACACCATTAATCCAGAAGCGTCTGCATCTCCTTGCTGTGTGTCTCAGGATCTGGAACCCCTCACAATCCTTTACTACATCGGCAAAACCCCCAAAATTGAGCAGCTCTCCAACATGATTGTCAAGTCCTGCAAGTGCAGCTAGGAACCGATTTCCAAGAACACACATCCACACAAACAAACACACAATAATTTAAACCCAATCACAAACATGCTGGGCAGGGTGTCAAGGTACAACAGAGTAATTCCTACAGAATAGTTCCTACAAGAAGTCCAGACCATCAAAAACTCTCCAAAGCCAAGATGATGCGTAAAAACACACATCTGAATGGTGTGTGGATGTGTGAACTTGTGCTGGAAACAGCCCTGTCGGCATGTGTCACATCACCCACTCATCACTCTATGGATGTGAGTTTGGCAAACACTGGAAGTTTGTTATAGGTGTCTATATGTGAAGCAAGCGGAAGAAAAATCCCTTGTTCCATTTATTTCAAACAAACACTTCTTTCTGTTTTTTGTTTTTTTCATTGTTGTTTTGTTTCCCCTCAATTCAGATATTGTTTGCTTGACTTTTTTTAATCATATTTAAAACCCATGATATTGTTCACCGATACTGGTGAAGAGCTGGAAAGTTCTGACAAGCATTTGTCTCAAACTGTGTTGCTGCCACAAATGAACTCCATGCCTGGCGCGAATAAACCGTTTTTGCAAGGGGGTAGAGTTGGCGACTGACCGATGAAATATTTTTAAAGTTAATGCACGCCTCAGAAAGGCATAGTTTTACCACCTTACATGGTGTAAAAAAAGGCCAAGACCAACAAGTCATGTTGCTCCAAGCAGCCAAAGACGTTATGTTCCATTGCGAACAGCCATTTAGGTCAGAAACATTCTCTACACAACTGCAGTCGTGAATGCTTGGCCAACACATTGCAAGCAAAACCATTGCACACTCTTGCATTATTGTGGCAGCAACAAATAGATTTTCCATCAAATGTCTGTGCCATTAAGCCAAATGTTTTATCATGCAGATAGTTAGATATAAACATGTTGACAGTGCCGAGCAAGATTCTCTTCAAATTGTTGTTCCAGCATGAGAGTTATTGATCTGAAAGAGAAAAGTGACTAGAAGTTCATGCAAAAAGATGGCGTTTCTGAAAAGAATGACCTTGACTTTTTGATACTCACCACGCAGAGCTATACCAGAGCATATAGTGCCTGGTTAAACTGGAATACGGGTGGTTGGTGAATAAAACGCTGGTTTTGCGCTGAAATACAAGTGGCAACAAAATACAAATGCAAAAGTGGCAACTTGGTGAAATCACCCCTTATTACAGAGTGAGTGCAGCTATGATGTCAGCAACTCAGCTGTGTTGAAAGGAAGTGATGTCTAGTAATGAAATAGGTATGTTTACATGCACTAATTTTCATCAATCAAATGGATCAAATCCAATTTCATAGTCTAAAAGTTCCCTAAGCGTTGGAATCCAATCCACATATTCGTTTACATTTGTGTGTATTACATATATTCCAAACAGAACTTCACGTGACTAGACCTACCCCAAGTAAAATCGCCATTTTCTGCCTTAATGACATGTAAATATTGACCAGTTTGGAAGTCATGCCTCGCATGTAAATGTAGCTATTGATGTGAGAAGAGTTGTGTCAGTAAAGTCAGATTTTGATGAAAGGATGAAGAATGTGAACAGACATGTAATGGACAGGTCATGTAAGTGAGAGACAGTAACCCCAGTTCATCCTTTTGAACATGTTGTGCAGAGGCCAGCTTGACATATGCACTGCAGCAGCCGCGGAGGCTGACGTCGACGTCCATGGAGAAATGTTTTATACACATCTCAAAGTGTCTTCCTGAATTTGTGATTTTGTTTTCTCTCAGAGAAAGTGATCCTTTGTTATGAAGAATTGCACTGACTATTTTATTTCTACAATTTTTTTTATTATTATTATTTGTAACTATTGTTTGCTGGTTTTTATTCGTAGTTATAGCTTCACCCACATAACATGAGCTGATGATGTGAGTAGCTTCCAAGTGGAGGTTCACCTTTTAAGTCCTTATCTTAACCAGAATTAGAGAAACTGGTGCCAGATCAGTTTAAAAGAGAAACGTTGACTCATGCCCAGGATTTTTAGTTGACACTTATTTTATGTGTATTAGGGCAAGAATGCCAGTGGACTTCCTGCAGACACAGGAAGCAGAAGGAGACACCAGCATTGTCACACTAGAGCTGTTTATTGTTATTGTTGTCTATGATGATGATGATGATGTCGATATTGTTGACCCACTATGATGTATTGTAACACATTACTGTTGTGGTGCTCTAGTGGTAAATAAATTATTTAAGTGACAAGGGATGGTGTGTGTGCTCTTGTTTGGATTATCATTTTTTCTTTAATTTTCTATTCAGATGAGTTAAATGCATATAGAAAAAAATAGATATTGAATTTTTCATAAAGAAAATAAAACGTATTTTTAGGACCATATATACTATATTCAAACAATATTTATGATCTCCTAAAAAGTAAGTTTTATTTTCTTTAAAAATCCTCTGCTAACATAAACAGACTACATTACACTGCCTTATGATGAAACCCTAAACATTTAATCTCCATTTATTCCATTTGTTTATTTTACTTAAATACTGTGTGGGCAAGTCGACATAAACAACAGTACAAACCCTTGAGCTTATTCTGACGATGCTCTGATACTGTATTTCCTCCCAATGGCCCTTAAACTCTGGAGGCTTGCCAGGCTCATTAGCCGAGAGTTTTGTGGTTCCTTATTTAGGAGTGAGACTCGAGCAGCAGAAAGCTCTGGAGACTGTCAATCTGGAATTAGGTTTGGATTGATTAAGACTCAACATTCTACAGATAAATGCTCTGCAAACGGATGATGTCACACATATAGGCTGTGTGAAAATTGCTGGTTTTTACCAAGTTCTTTGGAATGGCGTTTTCAGTCGCATGCCATCTTGGTACTTCACAAGAGTCTTTCATGATTAAACACAGCAGTGCAGACTCTGACATAGGACACAATTATACAAATTAGTTTGCGAAATTTATTCCAATGTGTGTGGAAATATTTCTGGGTAAAAATACTAATAATAAGTCAGATTATTTGTAAAGGTTTATATATATCTAATCGAATCCTTTCTCTTGCTCTTGAAAAAAAAAATTCCTGGGGTTTCTCAATGGATATAAGATATGATTTCATGTCTTACCTTATGGATTACTTTTAACTTTTGGTTTATTTGGAAACTGTTTGACTTTTTAGAAAAACCTTGATGATTACTCAAATTGACTTGATATACAGAGTATAAACAATTAAAGAGGTTAATTGTCACACAATGGGTTGCAAACAAGTAAATAAAAGCTGGATTTATTTACCAGCACTAATTTCTTTTAAGAATACACTCAATTACACTTTTTAAGAAATCTGGGAATAAAAACACAGAAAACTGAACAACCACAGTATAGACCAGATTAGACCATGAACAACTGAAAATCAGGACTATATATACAAACTCAAACCAACCAAAAAGCAAGAAACAGGCCTTACAACTTAATTAAACAATTACCGACTATGCCAACAAATGAAAACAAGGAAACAGAACATCTCTGGGTTATGTATAGAAGCCAGTTCTCATGAAGAGCCTTCCAGGAGAGACACCAGGTCTGCAAACCATACTCATACATGCCTGCCGGAATGTGGCTACCAGAATCAACCGCAACTCTTTCTGACAGACCCTCACCAAAACTCCCGGGAGCAGAGCAATCGGAGGAAAGGCATCCAGTCCCAGAGTAGCTGGAGAATGGAGAGAGAACCAAAGGGGACAGTGGGTTGACTCCTCTGAGGTAAACAAGTCCACTTCTGTCTGACCAAACTTCTGCAATATGGGCTCCACTATTTAAGGGTGGAGTTGCCAATCGCCAGGCCTCAGCCCCTGCCTTGACAGGACGTCTGCTCCCAAAGTAGAAGTGTGCCGGGATGTAAACTAACCTCAGGGAGAGCATTTTGCCATCCGCCCAGAGCAGGATCTGCTGTGCCAGCCGGAACGGGGGGCACAAACGTAAGCCGCCCTGGTGATTTATATGGGCGACTAAACACTTGTCCTTCCACACCAACACATGATAACACCAAAGATCTGGGAAAAAGTGATACAAAGCTAGAAAAACAGCTCTCATTTCCAGGTATTTGATATGCCACGAGAGATGAGGGGTGCCTGCTGGTCGCACTCGACTCATAAACCTCCCTCTATGTCTAGTTCCTTGAATCTAGACCCCCCTGAGAGCAGAGCGAGCTTCCAACTCCTGGGTGGGACCCACAGAGTCTGTAGATAAAGCGAGAGAAAGGGTAGCGCTCGTCTCACGCTCCTGTAACCGCGCCATGTGTGAGCTCCATGATCGAACTCGACGCGCTGCCTCGGCAGACGTGGGATCCGAACCACGGGGTGCAGATATAAAATTCCCTTTATCATCAAAGAGGGCGAAGCAGGAGTGGAGCTTCCTGACTATAAAACACTCACAGTGAGGGCAATCAGCTCCCTCGAGAGCACATAACTCGTGTCCGTCGGCCCCAGACCGATAGATAGAGCGGGGGGCACTGTGAAACACATCTCCTAAACTTAGACATATTTTTTTTCTGGTAACACTTTACAATAAGGTTTATTAGTCAACATTAGTTAATGTATAATTAACTAACATAAACTTACCATGAGCAATCCATTTGTTACTGTATTTGTTAATCTTTGTTAACGTCATTTAATAAAAAATACAGCTGTTCATTGTTAGTTCATAGTGCATTAACTAACGTTAACAAGATTTTAATAAAGTATTAGTAAATGTTGAAATTAACGTTAATAAAGATTAATAAATCATGCATACGTGCAGTTCATTATTGGTTCATGTTAACTAATGTAGTTAACTAATGTTAACTAGCGAACCTTACTGTAAAGTGTTACCGTTTTTCTTTTCTTTTTTTCCTCCTGTTCTAAGTCAGACAAACAGTTTGCACACACAGTGACAGACAAAGTTACGCACATCTTTGCATCACCTGACTTGGTCCTAGGCCAATAGCTTGGCATGTATACTACTTTTGGCCGGTAATTTACACGACAACAGCGTTTTGGGGACCTGAAAAAATTCAAGTTTTTGAAAACGATATCATTGTCTTCACCATGTAAACTACAAAAACACCATGTGGACGTATTATGTGTTCAGTCTATAGGCGCATAGTGTTTCTTTACAAATTTACACTGCCAACTACTGACCTGGCACCAGAATACAGCGTTTTTAGTCGTTTTCGCGGAAACATGTGAACGGGCATCATTTTGACAACAAGTCATCTGTACGCGAAAAAACGCGAAGGAATTTTTACAGTACATTTTTAAAGCTGCATTACATAATGATAAATTCCTAAAACAATCAGTCCTTCAAGTCCCAGTTTAAGGTCCTTTCCTAATCCTTTTCCACTTTCTACTACAGATTAATGATGGCAAAAGGTTTGGGACAAGCTGTTTTTGCAGGTTATTTTCAATAAATGCCCTTCTTAGATTAGGGGGGACATTTTTGGTTCTGAAAGTCACTATGTTTTATACTACAACAGTGAGGTTATTTCAAAAGATCAAGGACATATCGATTCCTCATGCTATAAATTTTGTTTGCTAATAAGCTGACTTTCACTCATCCCAACAGGGTGTGCAAATACAGAACTGATGTGCAACTAGCTCAGCTGTGGCTTTGTGTTTGTTTTGGACTCTAACATGAATCTTTAGTCCAAGGTTCCTTTCTTTAAATGTGGCTTACTCAGTTAGCAGGATTTTTCAAGATAACCTGGCATAAAGAAGCATAAACCAAGATATTCCATTCTTTTGAAGCAAACTTAAATTGACCAAGCTAAATAAGTAGGCCTAAAGCCAAAACATACTTTATGCTAGGACGCAAATGGAGATAGAAATGATTCGCTGACAATGTGCAAGTGCACGGTGCTGTTGTACAGACGTTATTAAAGATCACAAATCTAATTTCTCAATTCTTTCAAATGTATGTGCTATTAAACTAGGTTGTTTTTTATTCAGGTAGCTAGATATAAATGTGTTGACAACTTGCTCAGCAGGATTCTCTTCAAACTGTTTCTCCATGCAAACCCAAAAGGGAGCTCAGTTGTATTGAATGTGCACTTTTAGTCTACTTCAAATCTTAAAAATATATTTTTTAAAAAACTGTACTTGCAGATAATATTAATGAAATAAAAGGCCACTTAAGTGTACTTAGAGTACACTTTCATGACTGTGTTTTTGAACACAT